ATATACATATATTAGCCCAATAAAATACTTCCTAATTATCTTACATTCTGCACATTTTGCTATTAAATTTAAAACACAAACTGTACAAAACATAAATATTTACATATGAAAAATTTATTCTGCAAGTTCTCATAAAGCATTTATATAGGATTCTGTAAGGAACAATTATCTTATGCCAAATACAATAAATTCCATGAAAATAATTTTATTTTAATACTTACCATGATGAAGCCTTGGTCATTAATTTCAGTAATTTCAATTGTCTAAAAACATATTTTTCATTGGATTCATTCAGGTTTTTAAATTGAATAAATGCAATGAAAAATATAATGTGTATAATTTTAAGATTTATAGTTTTGAATTTTTTTAAACATTGAAAAATAGATTATTTGTATTTCAGCAAATAAATAAACTTAGGATTCTTTATTTTCTACTTAAACAGGAAGATATGTATCATAACAATTACCAGCATATCTACCCACTTACTTGTATCTCTATTATATAATGATTCAAATGATATAAAATATGACTATCATCAATCATTAACCAGNTTAATTAATTTTATGGAAGAAAACCTTTCAAACAGCCGTAGTCCGTAAACTGCACACGTGCTGGGCTGTGATTGGCTCCTGTATTTGAGGATTCCTACAACGCAAAATTCTTATAAAGTGAAACGTATCTACCACGTTATAGGGGGGTCAACTGTATATCAGTATGAAAAATTTTTTATGTAAATGGTTTTTGTGTATTATTATTATGCCTATTATTAAATTTCAATTTTATAGAACAAGAAACCTATGTGATATTATTCTGTAAAAAATAATTAAGTTATTATAGTTTTAAAATCACAATTGCTAAAATTTTGAAATATGTTGAAGTTTACTCATCATATCTTAAAAAAGATTATGGTAATATAAGCTTTAAAAAATTTGTAACCATAGAAAAGTATGTTATGTTAAAAATGAAAATAGCTGTTATTTGTAAATATGTGTATAAATATTTTGTCAAGTTTTAAAAGCTAAAAAATTCCCGGGACTTTGAGTTTATTTTTCCTGGGAATTTACCTTTGTCAGTTTTCCAGATATTTTGGGAATACCCATACCAAAAACCCTACAAACTATTAATAACATTCAAATTTTCAACAAAACAGTATCTTTATCATTAACAACATACTATTAAACCTTGGCTTTTATTGGGTTGTTCGGAAAGTAATTTCGTTTTTTTTTTACTTCTAGATGGATTAGTCGTATTTTTCCCGCCATTTTCATTCTAAACTATATTATCATTATATATTTTGACAGCTAGTATTTTAAGGCTTATTTGTAAAAAATTTTGTTTGATTCTGTGCAATTGTTTACTTTTTGTGTCTCATCAAATATGGAAGATCGAAAGCATCATTTTCGGCATATTTTGCTCTTTTATTATCAAAAAATCAAAATGCTGTTCAAGCAAGAAAAAAATTGTGTGGCGTGTATGGAGAAGATGTATTGACAGAACAACAGTGCCAAAACTGGTTTACAAAATTTCGTTCTGGCAATTTCAATATTGAAGATGCACCACGTTCTGGATGGCCAGTTGAAGCCAACGAAAACAAAATAAAGGTACTGATTAAAACAAACTGCCTAATAACAACGTGTGAAATCACTAAGAGATTAAATTTGTCAAATTAAACTGTTTATGATTACTTGAAACAACTTAATTTCATTTCAAAGCTTGATATATGAGTTCCACGTGTTCTTAAAGAGAGATGCTCTCTTTGGTGGGATTTTAAGGAAATTTTTTTTTGGAGCTTTTACCAGACAATTTAACAATTGATTCGAAAGTGTACTGCCATTGAGTAAACAAATTGAGTAATATCATCAAACAGAAAAGGCAGCCAGAACTGATCAACAAAACAGGTGTAGTGTTTTACCACGATAATGTCAAATTTCACACAAGTTTGGTAACTCGTCAGAAACTGTTATAACTTAGACTTGATGTGCTATCCACCAACCGTATTCACCAGATAGGCGATTATTACTCAGATTATTACTTGTCCAGTGTATAAAAATTTTTTTTAACTGTAAGACATTTACTTGAAATGACAATGTCAAAAATCACTTGGATCAGTTTTTTGTAAGCAACGATCAAAACTTTTAT